AGAGTCGGAGACGACTGAACGAATGAACAACAACAAAGCAGAGTCTGGATGGCCATCTGTCAGGAGGGTTTCGATTGTGTTTTTGGACCATCCTCCAAATTTGTGAACATCCTGCGGCACAGCACAACAACGGAGAAGAAACAAACAAGGACATCTAATCACCTCTCAACAAAAGTTTGATGGCACTGCCAGGCCATTATATGCTAATCAAGGTGGTCAGAAATGGTGGTCAGTTGAAACATTCACCTCTAGCTCCAGCAGACAAGAGTCCTTTGTCCCACCCTGGTCATCATTCCACAGATATATAATCCCTTTTTCCTACTTCCAACAGACTTCACTACCTCTGAGGATGCTTGCCATAGATGCAGGTGAAATGTCAGGAGAGAATCCCTCTAGAACATGGCCATATAGCCCGAAAAAACCTACAACAACCCACTAATTTAGGCGATCAGTTGAAACATTCACCCCCTAGCTCCAGCAGGCAAGAGTCCTTTGTCCCACCCTGGTCATTCCACAGATATATAAACCCTTTTTCCTAGTTCCAACAGACCTCACTCCCTCTGAGGATGCTTGCCATAGATGCAGGTGAAACGTCAGGAGGGAATGCCTCTAGGACATGGCCATATAGCCTGAAAAAACCTACAACAACCCACTAATTAAGGTGGCCAGTTGAAACATTCACACCTAGCTCCAACAGACAAGAGTCCTTTGTCCCACTCTGGTCATTATTCCACAGATATATGAACCCACTTTCCTAGTTCCAACAGACCTCACTACCTCTGAGGATGCTTGCCACAGATGCAGGCGAAACGTCAGGAGAGAATGCCTCTAGAACATGGCCATATAGTTAAAAAAAAAACTACTACAACCCATTCCCCAGTTCCTCCATGATGACACGACGGCAACAGTCTTGGACAGCAATGGCTCCCAAAGTGACCCATTTAAGGTGGAATCTGGTGTCAAACAGGGATGATGTGTTATTGCCCCAACCTTATTCTCCATCTTCATTGCTATGATACTTCACTTTGTTGATGGGAAGCTTCTCACCGGAGTGGAAATCATCTATCGGACAGATGGCAAGCTATTCAACCTCAGCAGACTGAAAGCCAAAACCAGGGTTACAACAATATCAGTTACAGAACTACAGTATGCTTTTTTTTTTAATATTTTGATACATCCCAACAATCAACAAAAAAATTGCCATACAGGACTTATTTCAATATATTTATTATTTATTTATTTGTCGTCTCAGAGCAACCAGTCCATTATATTACATTTCTAACAGAACAAAGCAAACAAACAGAAAAATACACAACTGAGTTTGGTAGTTGGTTAAATGTCCTTTGACCAGTATCTGGCCACTTGGAGTGCTTCTGGTGTTGCTGCAAGAAGGTCCTCCATTGTGCATGTGGCAGGGCTCAGGTTGCATTGCAGCAGGTGGTCAGTGGTTTGCTCCTCTCCACACTCGCATGTCAAGGATTCCACTTTGTAGCCCCATTTCTGAAGGTTGGCTCTGCATCTCGTGGTGCCAGAGCGCAGTCTGTTCAGCGCCTTCCAAGTCGCCCAGTCTTCTGTGTGCCCAGGGGGAGTCTCTCATTTGGTATCAGCCATTGGTTGAGGGTCTGGGTTTGAGCCTGCCACTTTTGGACTCGCTTGCTGAGGTGTTCCAGCGAGTGTCTCTGTAGATCTTAGAAAACTATGTCTAGATTTAAGTCGTTGGCGTACTGGCTGACATTCTATACATTCCTTAATTATGTATCGCCCAACAAACCCCCCCCCCCCCATTCCCCCCACCCCCCTGGAACAGCAATTCTAAATCATGTCATTGCATCAATTTAACCGTGTGGAAAGCCTGGTTCAAAATACTGTATTTGTCGTCTCCGTCTATTTTGTCGATTAGAATAGACCATTTCCTGTACCAGTCTTGTTTTGTATGACTATTTATATACTTGTTTTTCCTTTGGTTAATGAAATTATTGATTATACATTCCAATAGATAAGCCCACCAAGTTTCAAAATCCCATCTTGTATTGTCTCTCCATCCCCGGGCTATCGTGGCCTGTATTGCGGCTGTCATATATTTTAGGATTTCTGTCCAATTATTGTTATCTTCCTTTGCCTTTATGGTGAGGGACATGAACCTGGCTTTATCCCACATTAATTCTTTCCCTATTATGTCTTCCATCACATTCTTTACTTTACCATAATAGTTCTGAATTTTTCTACAATCCCACCACATGTGGGAGAATGTACCGATCCCCCCACACTTGTGCCAACATTTGTTTGAGATATTTCCCATTATGCGTGCTAATTGGGTGGGGGTCCTATACCATTTGGAGATTATTTTCCTTTGGGTTTCCTTGATCCTCATATGTTTAATTTTATGAATATTGTCAATCCAAGACCCAATTAATTTCTCACTGAAGTTTTTCTCTTGTTTCCAATTTTCTTTAAGGGTTGTTTTTCTTTTGTAAATTAAGGAGATTAATTCCTCATACAGTAGCCCAATAATCCCTTTGTGTATTTCTACTTTCCTTTTAATTATTCTGTCAAGTGGAGTTTCTGCTACTTCTCTTCTTTTCGTGGCGTGAGCTTTCCTGGACAGGCCTAACCATGCCATCCATTTTTCCTTGACCACATTTGTCTTTTATCTTATCCCACTTTATTATTTCTCCATTGGGTTCCATGAGTTCCCCTATCCTTTTGATTCCATTTTCCTTAAGTGCCCTAATTAGATTCCTGAATGTCTTGTCCTTATTTTCCAAGGTTTCTAATGGGAAAGGGTCAATTTTGTTTATTTGTAGTTTATTTTGCCATTTTTTTTTCCAAATTAACAATGTTGTTAAGCAGAGGCTGACTTTTAAGTTCTTTAAGCCTTTTCTGTCTATTCTCTCTCCCATATATGCTCTCCTTTGCCAACTGTTTGTTTCCTTTTCTATTTGCTGGAGGGCCCTTTTTAAAGTTCTCTCCTTATTATCGTTGTTGTTAATGCAGAGACTAGATGGCCCTCTGTCAGGAAGCCTGGGCAAAGGGGCTGGGGTGAGCTGGATGTCCCTTTTGGGCTCCCTTCCACCACTCGGCTCCCCTGACTCTTTTGCCTTTTTCTCCTCAGCAGGCGTCCTTGCGCCGGGTCAGCCGTCCGGCAGAAGCACACGCAACGGCGGCCCAGGAGCTGGAGCGCAAGCAGCATGAGGTGTACTTCCAGCAGATGCGAGAGCTGGCGCACGCCCGGAAAGTGCAGCAGATACGGGAGCTGGAGGTGATGTGGGAGGCTGAGGAGCGCGTGGAGAAGAAGCGCGTCACCCGCCGCCTGATCCAGGAGCAGCATGAGCGCCGCATGGAGGAGGCCCTACAGCGGGTGAGTCAGCCCGACATCCCTTGGCGCACCCGGTGTTGCACTAGAACCCCGAAACACCTTTTCACCACAAACCACACTCTGTCCAGATAATTTAGTAAGTAAAAGTTTATTTAGAGAAGAGTACCACCTTCATTAGCATTTGAAGGCCTGGCTGAGCCTGGGGGAATCTTTTGTTGAATGCTAATGAAGGTGGTCAGTTGAAACATTCACAGCTCCAGCAGAGAAGAGCTCTTTGCCCCACCCCAGTCATTCCACAGATATATCAACCCTTTTTCCTAGTTCCAACAGACCTCACTACCTCTGAGGATGCTAGGCGAAACGTCAGGAGGGAATGCCTCTAGAACATGGCCATATAGCCCAAAGAAACAACAACAATCCACACATAAGAAGTAGTTGTGTTGTGGTTAAGTCAAAGGTTGTGGTTAAGCGCAGAGTCTGGAGGTACAAGAAAGTACTTTCCATCAAAAGGTCAAGGGAGAGGGGCTAGAAAGAGACCTCACTACCTCTGAGGATGCTTGCCATAGATGCAGGCGAAACGTCAGGAGAAAATGTCTCTAGAACATGGCCATATAGCCCGAAAAAACCCACAAGAACCTAGAATCTTAAGAATCAATCCACAGAAATATCTATTTATTTATTTACTTACTTTTCTTATATAACGCTGTTCTCAGCCCGGGGGCGACTCACAGCGGTGTATAAACACAATAGTACGATCCAAGGCAGGCAGTGTATGCCACACATGAACTAGCAACAGGAACAAACTTAGAAACTTGAATATATGAATTCCAAAAAAGTAGGACCAAGAAAAGAGAGGTATTCACCTGAATACAGTGTTGCTCTCACAAAGATTGTACCAGCAGGAACCACTTTAAAAAGCCTCAATCCCTCCCATAACATCATTTCTCACACACCTGCTCTTCCTCTCCTTATCTCTAAGCCTCTGGGAAAAGTTAGTTGGTCTTTGTATCATGCCCTGTCTCCGCAATTCCAAGCGCCTTGACCTACACAAATATTAGTACATTTCCCTCAACTGGTACTTCTGGCAGGTTCCCATGAGAACTGATATCATGCCTATGAACTGCCAGGAGATTCCTAAACAACTCTCTCCAGACCACTTCCATCTTCCTCTGGGCCCTCTAAATCTATTCCAGCACCCCCTTCCTCATCTTCTGAGCACTCAGAATCCAGCAGCATTCCTATTCACGTTCCGCACTGGCCCAGAAATGCCAGTATATATTATATATGTAATACAATATATTTTGTACTACTAATAATATAATATACTGGTAGTGTATTATATGTATTGTGATATAATAATATAGTACAACATAAAAATATCCCAGTATATAAAACGTGGAATCTTTCCTGTGTGGAATAGCTTTTAATCACATTGATTAGCATTTGATTGCCTGGCAGTGCCTGGAGCAATCTTTTGTTGAGAGGCCATTAGATGTCTACACAGAGAAGCCATTGAAATCCACAAGCATGTGGACAATTTCAACAGAAAGGAGGAAACCATGAAAATGAACAAAATCTGGCTACCAAAAAAACTCTAAAATTAGAATAACACAACAACAGAGAGGAAACAGACATGGACATCTAATCACCTCTCAACAAAAGATTGCTCCAGGCACTGCCAGGCCATTATATGCTAATCAAGGTGGTCAGTTGAAACATTCACCTAGCTCCAGCAGACAAGAGTCCTTTGTCCCACCCTGGTCATTCCACAGATATATAAACCCTTTTTCCTAGTTCCAACAGACCTCACTACCTCTGAGGATGCTTGCCATAGATGCAGGCAAAACATCAGGAGAAAATGCCTCTAGAACATGGCCATATAATCCGGAAAAACCTACAACAACCCAGTGATTCCGGCCATGAAAGCCTTCGACAATACATTATAATTATAATATTAATTATTATTATATTACAAGGACATTAATCACCTCTCAACAAAAGATTGCCCCAGGCACTGCCAGGCCATCAAATGCTAATCAAGGTGGTCAGTTGAAACATTCACACCTAGCTCAGCAGACAAGAGTCCTTTGTCCCACCCTGGTCATTCCACAGATATATAAACCCTTTTCCTAGTTCCAACAGACCTCACTACCTCTGAGGATGCTTGCCATAGATGCAGGCAAAACATCAGGAGAGAATGCCTCTAGAACATGGCCATATAGCCCGAAAAAACCTACAACAACCCAGTGATTCCAGCCATGAAAGCCTTCAACAATACATTATAATTATTATTATTATATTATTTATATATCTGTGGACATCTAATCACCTCTCAACAAAAGATTGCCCCAGGCACTGCCAGGCCATCAAACGCTAATCAAGGTGGTCAGCTGAAACATTCCCACCTAGCTCCAGCAGACAAGAGTCCTTTGTCCCACCCTGGTCATCATTACACAGATATACAAACCCCTTTTCTTAGTTCCAACAGACCTCACTACCTCTGAGGATGCTTGCCATAGATGCAGGCGAAACGTCAGGAGAGAATGCCTCTAGAACATGGCCATATAGCCCAAAAAAACCCTACAACAACCCAGTGATTCCGGCCATGAAAGCCTTCGACAATAGTCCATTGTCTCACCCTGGTCCTTCCACAGATATATAAACCCTTTTTCCTAGTTCCAACAGACCTCACTACCTCTGAGGATGCTTGCCATAGATGCAGGCGAAACGTCAGGAGAGAATGCCTCTAGAACATGGCCCTATAGCCCGAAATAACCTACAACAACCCAGTGATTCCAGCCATGAAAGCCTTCAACAATACATTATAATTATTATTATTATATTATTTATATATCTGTGGACATCTAATCACCTCTCAACAAAAGATTGCTCCAGGCACTGCCAGGCCATCAAATGCTAATCAAGGTGGTCAGTTGAAACATTCCCACCTAGCTCCAGCAGACAAGAGTCCTTTGTCCCACCCTGGTCATCATTCCACAGATATACAAACCCCTTTTCTTAGTTCCAACAGACCTCACTACCTCTGAGGATGCTTGCCATAGATGCAGGTGAAACGTCAGGGGAGAATGCTTCTAGACCATGGCCATATAGCCTGAAAAATCCTACAACAACCCAGTGATTCTGGCCATGAAAGCACACATTTACACAAATATATACACACACACATACACACACAAATCTCATATATGCAGACCGGGCCACAGCAACGCGTGGCAGGGGGACGGCTCGTTTAACGTATAGAAATACAAACGTTAAGACAGAATAAACAGCACTAAAAAAATCCACAGCTAAAATCCATCAACACATTTTCCCATTTTGCATTCTCTCTCTCTCTCCAACAAAGCAACAACAACACCGACCCACACAGTGCGGACGAAGCTCCTGATGTGATGAGAGGTTTGGGGGTTTGGGTCCCAAACATCTAGGGCAGTGTTTCTCAACCTTCCTAATGCCGCGACCCCTTAGTACAGGTCGTCATGTTGTGGTGACCCCCAACCATAATATTATTTTCATTGCTACTTCACAACTGTAATTTTGCTACTGTTATGAATGGTAATCTAAATATCTGATATGCAGGATGTATTTTCAGTCACTGGACCAAATTTGGCACAAATACCCATTACTCCCAAATTTGAATACTGGTGAGGTTGGGGGTGATTGATTTGGTCATTTGGTAATGCTGGAGTTGCTGGGATTTATAGTTCACCTATAAATCAAACTGGGTAAATAGGATTTGAATGCTTCCTCCTCACAGAATTCCCATGACCAAGAGAAAATACTGGGAAGGTCTGGTGGACATTGACCTTGAGTTTTTTGGAGTTGTAGTTCACCTGGACTCAAGCAATGATGGATCTGGACAAACTTAGCACAAATACTCAATATGCCCAAATGTGAACACTGGTGGAGTTTGGGGAAAATAGACCTTGACATTTGGGAGTTGTAGTTGTTGGGATTTATAGTTCACCCACAATCAAATAGCATTCTGAACCCCACCAATGATAGAATTGGACCAAACTTTCCACACAGAACCCCCATGACCAACAGAAAATACTATGTTTTCTGATGGTCTTTGGTGACCCCTCTGACACCCCCTCGCGACCCCCACAGGGGTCCCGACCCCCAGGTTGAGAAACACTGATCTAGGGGTTTTGAAGGGACAGAATTGTTGCTTTCCAGAGGTTTTGGACCATTTAGACCAGGCACGGGCAAACTGGGGCCCTCCTGGTGTTTTGGACTCCAACTCCCACCATTCCTAACAGCCTCAGGCCCCTTCCTTTTGCCCCTCAGCCGCTTAAGCGGCTGAGGGGCAAAAGGAAAGGGCCTGAGGCTGTTAGGAATGGTGGGAGTTGGAGTCCAAAACACCAGGAGGGCCCCAGTTGAAGAGATCTAGTCCCCAGATATATATATATTTTTAAGATGTAGAACAACCTTTACTTTGCTTAAGATCCGATTCGATGTTCATTCAGGCAGAAGAAAACAAAAGGTTGAAGGAACTGGAGTTGGAGCAAGAAGAGAAGCTGGCGGCGGAACTGGCAAAACTGAAGCACGATAAGCTGAAAGATGAAAAGATGAGGCAGCAAATCAAAGAGAACAGGTGATTCCGCTCCCCTTTACTTACATAGGCGATCCCTCATAGTACGAGGATGATGGTCCTCCAAGTTCGGTGTTCTGTTGGTGGGTCCGCATGTGGCTGTGGAGCCCTATTCTTGACCTGCATCTTCTCCCGCAGTGAGGACGTCGATTTCCAGGTGGAAGGCGGTCTTGGCCGGGGTTGGCTTGACGCGCCTTCCCCTTGGCACGTTTCTCTCTTTCGCCCTCCATTCGTGCCCCTTCAAATTCTGCAGCACTGCTGGTCACAGCTGACCTCCAGCTGGAGCGCTCAAGGGCCAGGGCTTCCCAGTTCTCAGTGTCTATGCCAGAGTTTTGAGCCCATCTTTCAATCTCTTTTCCTGTCCACCAACATTCTGTTTTCTGTTCTTGAGTTTGGAGTAGAGCAACTGCTTTGGGAGATGGTGGTCGGGCATCTGGACAACGTGGCCGGTCCAGCGGAGTTGATGGCGGAGGACCATCGCTTCAATGCTGGTGGTCTTTGCTTCTTCCAGCACGCTGACGTTTGTCCGCCTGTCTTCCCAAGAGATTTGCAGGATTTTCCGGAGGCAACGCTGATGGAATCGTTCTAGGAGTTGCATGTGACGTCTGTAGACAGTCCATGTCTTGCAGGCGTATAGCAGGGTTGGGAGGGGAATGGCTTTATAAACAAGCACCTTGGTCTCCCTACGGATGTCCTGGTCCTCAAACACTCTCTGCTGTATTTGAATGCAACATTGTGTCCAAATTTCAGTGCTCAGTTTTCATTTCTTATATTGCTGAGGTAAAATGAAAGCTAGGCTGTGAGTGGTTGCTTTGGACATCACAGATTCCACTTTGTCTATTCCCGGACTGCCACTTTTACTCTAAATACACGTTTGTATTTGAATGCAACATTGTGTCCAAATTTCAACGGTCAGTTTTTATTTCTTATATTGCTGAGGTAAAATGAAAGCTAGGCTGTGAGTGGTTGCTTTGGGCATCACAGATTCCACTTTGTCTATTCCTGGACTGTTCATTTTAGTCCAAATATATGTGTGTATTCAAATGCAATGTTGTGTCCAAATTTCAATGCTCAGTTTTCGTTTCTTATATTGCTGAGGTAAAATGAAAGCTCTGCTGTGAGTGGTTGCTTTGGGCATCACAGATTCCACTTTGTCTATTTCAGGACTGTTCATTTTAGTCCAAATACATGTGTGTATTCAAATGCAACGTTGTGTCCAAATTTCAATGCTCAGTTTTCGTTTCTTATATTGCTGAGGTAAAATGAAAGCTAGGCTGTGAGTGGTTGCTTTGGACATCACAGATTCCACTTTGTCTATTCCCGGACTGCCACTTTTACTCTAAATACACGTTTGTATTTGAATGCAACATTGTGTCCAAATTTCAACGGTCAGTTTTTATTTCTTATATTGCTGAGGTAAAATGAAAGCTAGGCTGTGAGTGGTTGCTTTGGACATCACAGATTCCACTTTGTCTATTCCCGGACTGCCACTTTTACTCTAAATACACGTTTGTATTTGAATGCAACATTGTGTCCAAATTTCAACGGTCAGTTTTTATTTCTTATATTGCTGAGGTAAAATGAAAGCTAGGCTGTGAGTGGTTGCTTTGGGCATCACAGATTCCACTTTGTCTATTCCTGGACTGTTCATTTTAGTCCAAATATATGTGTGTATTCAAATGCAATGTTGTGTCCAAATTTCAATGCTCAGTTTTCGTTTCTTATATTGCTGAGGTAAAATGAAAGCTCTGCTGTGAGTGGTTGCTTTGGGCATCACAGATTCCACTTTGTCTATTTCAGGACTGTTCATTTTAGTCCAAATACATGTGTGTATTCAAATGCAACATTGTGTCCAAATTTCAATGCTCAGTTTTCATTTCTTATATTGCTGAGGTAAAATGAAAGCTCAGCTATGAGTGGTTGCCCTGGCATCACAGATTCCACTTTGTCTATTCATTTTAGTCCAAATACATGTGTGTTTTTGAATGCAAGGTGGTGTTTAAATTTCATCTGTGTGTTGGAATGCAACGTTGTGTCGAAATGTTGTGCGAGCACAAACATATGCAGGCTGAGATTTTATATATAAAGATTATTTCTGGGCTCAGAACGTGGCTGTTTGTAAACCAGCAGAGCTTCCATCGGCAAACTGGGTCTCGCCGGTGTTTCTTTCCCAAACGTTTCGTCCCGTTTGACCATTTGCGTGCCTTCCAGCCTGGAACTCCGGGAGCTGGAGAGGAAGCTGCAGTCGGCGTATATGAACAAAGAGCGGGCAGCACAGATCGCCGAGAAGGAAGCCCAGAAGTACGAGCAAATGGTAAGTTGTCTTACGTCTCTCCAAGTCTGAAAAGTGAATCACCATCCTGGAATCGTGGGCCACTGGCGAGCTGGACATCATTGTCATCGTTCTCATCACAACAATAACAACATTATTGACCAATCTATGTTTGAAAGCTAATTTCCTGTTTAATTGTGCAGTCCTTACTGTGAAAGTAGTTTTTCTACTTTGTGTCAACCACAAAAACTTTGTTTTTGTGGTTGACACAAACTCTGTTGAATTGGTTGAGGTATTCATTGCAAAACTTTCACTAAATGCGCTGCCCCAGGATGTCTCAGCCGCAAAAGAACACAGTTTGGGCAGTTTAATCCACTTTCCACATGTTTTTATGATAGGACCAATTAGGAAATGACATTGAGAACCCAGGAACAAACATGGTGTTAACAGAGTGTAATCATAATATAATGCCAAATATTCCTCCGTTGTAAGACACCCCCTAATTTCAGTAATAATAATTATAATAATAATAATAATTATTATTATTATTATTATTATTTATACCCCGCCACCATCTCCCCAATAATAATAAGCAAATAAAACAATATAATTAATATAACTCACATATAGACAATAACACACTTTTTAAAATAATTATTATTATTATTATTTATTTATTTATTTATTTATACCCCGCCACCATCTCCCCAAGGGGACTCGGGGCGGCTTACATGAGGCCAAGCCCAACAACACTTCAGTAAACAACAAAGCAGTAAGCAAACAAAATAATATAATTAATATAACTCACATATAGACAATAACACAAAATAATAATAATAATAATAATAATAATAATAATAATAATAATTTATTGATACCCCGCCACCATCTCCCCAAGGGGACTCGGGGCGGCTTACATGAGGCCAAGCCCAACAACACTTCAGTAAACAACAAAGCAAGAAGCAAATAAAACAATATAATTAATATAACTCACATATGGACAATAACACAAAAATATTAAAATAATAATAATAATAATAATAATAATAATAATAATAATAATAATTTATTGATACCCCGCCACCATCTCCCCAAGGGGACTCGGGGCGGCTTACATGAGGCCAAGCCCAACAACACTTTAGTAAACAACAAAGCAATAAGCAAACAAAACAATATAATTAATATAACTCACATATAGACAATAACACACACAAAATTTTAAAATAATAATAATAATAATAATTTATTGATACCCCGCCACCATCTCCCCAAGGGGACTCGGGGCGGCTTACATGAGGCCAAGCCCAACAACACTTTAGTAAACAACAAAGCAATAAGCAAACAAAACAATATAATTAATATAACTCACATATAGACAATAACACACACAAAATTTTAAAATAATAATAATAATAATAATTTTATTGATACCCCGCCACCATCTCCCCAAGGGGACTCGGGGCGGCTTACATGAGGCCAAGCCCAACAACACTTTAGTAAACAACAAAGCAATAAGCAAACAAAACAATATAATTAATATAACTCACATATAGACAATAACACACAAAAATTTTAAAATAATAATAATAATAATAATAATTTATTGATACCCCGCCACCATCTCCCCAAGGGGACTCGGGGCGGCTTACATGAGGCCAAGCCCAACAACACTTTAGTAAACAACAAAGCAATAAGCAAACAAAACAATATAATTAATATAACTCACATATAGACAATAACACACAAAAATTTTAAAATAATAATAATAATAATATTTATTTATACCCCGCCACCATCTCCCCAAGGGGACTCGGTGCGGCACCAGGACTCTGCTGTTTTTTGCATGCAGAGTGATGGTTCAATACAGTGAAGGGCTGCGCATTAAGAGGAAGGTGGTCCTCCATGCCTTCTGAGGAGCTTCCATAATAGACTATGTTGATGGCCTTTCCTTCCTTGCCCATCTGTCCCATTGTGTAGCTCTTGAGGGGGTCTGGGGTGTTGATGACCCGGAGTGGCTCCTTGTGGCCGTCTCCTTCGCTCACCCATCTTTGGTTGCCTTCTGCTAGGGTTATGGGGCCTCCTTGGAGCCTCTTGGGTGTTGCGGGGCCTGCTTCATGTTGGGGTTAAGCCTGAGTTTGAACCTGATTCTCTGTTTGTTCCTCCTGATGCTAATGAAAATATATTTACTGATGCTAATGAAAATGTACTTCCTGATGCTAATGAAAATGTACTTCTTGATGTCAATGCTCCTGAAATTAGTGAGGAAGCAACTTCAGTAGATTTGGAAAATGAAAGTACCAGTGTTCATGAGAATGTTTCAGAGGGAAGCCATGACCTTTCACTCCCTTCTGCACCTGGGAACCTTAATGAGAACAGAAGGGGCCAGATTTGGCAAGACAGGAGTGAATCACTCAGCTTGCGAAGGTCTTCCAGATTAAAAGAAATACAAACAACAGCTTCAAAGCAGGGAGGCGTTTCACGAAACCAATTCTTCGGCTTTAAATGCCTTCCGCCGGGCTGACTCTCTCAGTTTAGGCATTGTTTTAGATTGATGAAGACCTTGGCAGTTCTCCCGGTTCCTCTGGCCATCGTTTAGAGAGATTTCTAGGACACCAAGTACGGTTAGTGGATTGCTAACAGGTTCCAGTATTTTACAGTGTGGCTTTGGGTTTTGCTTTGTCCATTTAAATTCATGTTTGCTGATTTTGCTGTGGCCTTTGACTTTGCATTTTTCCTTTATTTTGTAACCATTTTTCATCACTAAAAAGGGATTGTTTTTTCCCAGTCAAGTGTGGTGGATGGTTATCTTAGGGCCTCGTTTCCTGCTCTGGGTTGCAACACTTCACCTCCTTCCCTTTGCTTCTCTCCGCAGAAGGAGGACGCGGAGTTCTGCCGGGCGATGAAGGAGGACCAGGAAAGGGCGGAGGAGGCGGAGATCTCCAGCGAGGCGCAGCGCAACCAGGAGAAGCTCCTTTACCAGCAAGAGCTGGAGGGCCAGCTGGAGGAGCGCGAGCGGCGGAGGCAGGCCGCCTACGAGGAGTTCCTGCGGGATAAGCTCCTCATCGACGAAATTGTGCGCAAGATCTACGAGGAGGACGAAACGTGAGTCCGAGCCAGTGGTGGCGGCGGCTGCATCACGCAGGCTGATCCATGTTGGGTCCTTTCAAAAAGGAAAAAGCCTTTTGAAGTGTAACGCTGCAGCAGCAGTTTAGCAGAGCAGAAGCTTCTTGCAACAGTAGTTGAGCCACCGAGCTTCAGAAATTATGGGAGAAGAGTCAAGGTTTCAATGTCACAAAAGATTTATGGGAAAGAACTACGTTTCTACATAGCACAGATAACACAGGGATTAGCTCTCCCTCGCTCGCTCTCTAGAGCAGTGTTCCTCAACCTTCCTGATGCCGCGACTCCACAATACAATTCCTCATGTTGTGGTGACCCCCAACAATAAAATTATTTTTGTTGCCACATCATAACTGTAATTTTGCTACTGTTATGAATCATAATGTTAATATCCGATATGCAGAATGTATTTTCATTCTCAGGTCCAAATTTGACACAATACCCGATATGCCCAAATTTGAATATTGGGGGGTAGGTGGGTGGATGGGTGGGTTATTTTGTTATTTGGGAGGTGTAGTTGCTGGGATTTATAGTTCACCTAAAATCTGAACTCCGCAAACGATAGAGTTGAACCATGGAGCATGGAGCGCCATTACCTTCCCGCCGGAGCGGTATCTATTGATCTACTCACATTTGCATGTATCTAATCACAGGTATGGCCCAGGTGCTGATAGCCTTGACTGCCTGGTGGCATAGTAACAGTTACAGGAATAGTTTTTGAACTGCTAGGTTGGCAGAAGCTAGGGCTGACAGCGGAAGCTCACGCCACTCCCCGGAATCGAACATGCGACCTTTCGGTCAACAAGCTCAGCAGCTCAGCGCTTTAAGCCACTGGGCACACAGAGCTCCCATGACCAAGAGAAAATACTGGAAGGATTTGGTGGCCACTGACCTTGAGTTTTGGAGTTATAGAACACCTACATCCATAGAACACTGTGGACTCAAACAATGATGGATCTGGATCAAAATTGGCATGAATGCTCAATAATGTGAACACTCGTGGAGTTTGGGGGAAATAGACTTGACATTTGGGAGTTGTAATTCCTGGGATTTATAGTTCACCTCCAATCAAAGAGCATTCTGAACTCCACCAATGATAAAATTGGGCCAAACTTCCCACACAGAACACCCATGATGAACAAAAAATACTGTGTTTTCTGATGGTCTTTGGCGACTTCTCCGACACCCCCTCACGACCCCCTCAGGGGTCCTGACCCCCAGGTTGAGAAACACTGCTCTAGAGGCATCTTGTCTCTCTCCATGCTCACAGAAGGAGAACAAAATGGAAGACTCAGGGCTTGCCCCTGAGAAGTATCAGCCGAAAAAATGCAAGAGAATAGAGAGGGGCGGTCAGAGAGTCCAGTGGGAGAAGGGCTTTTCCCTGCCTATCTCTGTCCTTGAATTTATTTGTTTGTTTGTTTGTTTGTTTATTTATTTATTTATTTTTATCATGTCAGGGGCAACCAGACCATTGTATTACATTTCTAACAGAACAAAACAAACAAAGAGATTAAAAAAACACAGAATTTGCAAGCTTGGTAGTGGATTAAATGTCCTTTGAGCAGTCTCTGTCCCCTTGGAGTGCCTCTGGTGTTGCCGCAAGGAGGTCCTCCCTTGTGCATCATGTGGCAGGGCTCAGGGTGCATTGCAGCAGGTGGTCAGTGGTTTGCTCTTCTCCGCACTCGCATGTCGTGGACTCCACTTTGTGGCCCCATTTCTTGAGGTTGGCTCTGCCTCTCGTGGTGCCAGAGCGCAGTCTGTTCAACGCCTTCCAAGTCGCCCAGTTTTCTGTGTGCCCAGGGGGGAGTCTCTCATCTGGTATCAATTCTGGGTTTGAGCCTGCCACTTTTGGACTCTCGCTTGCTGAGGTGTTCCAGCGAGTGTCTCTGTAGATCTTAGAAAACTATTTTCTAGATTTAAGTCATTGACGTGCTGGCTGATACCCAAACAGGGGATGAGCTGGAGATGTCTCTGCCTTGGTCCTTTCACTATTGGCTGCTACTTCCCGGCGGATGTCAGGTGGTGCAATACCGCCTAAGCAGTGTAATTTCTCCAGTGGTGTAGGGCGCAGACACCCTGTGATAATGCGGCATGTCTCATTAAGAGCCACAGCCACTGTTTTAGCGTGGTGAGATGTGTTCCACACTGGGCATGCGTACTCAGCAGCAGAGTAGCATAGCGCAAGGGCAGATGTCTTCACTGTGTCTGGTTGTGATCCCCAGGTTGTGCCAGTCAGCTTTCGTATGATATTGTTTCTAGCACCCAATTTTTGCTTGATGTTCAGGCAGTGCTTCTTGTAGGTCAGAGCACGGTCCAGAGTGACTCCTTCCAGGTATTTGGGTGCGCTGCAATGCTCCAGTGGGATTCCTTCCTTCCCAGGTAATCATCCTCAGAGCTTGGGATGCTTGTCTGTTCTTAAGGTGAAAAGCACATGTCTGTGTTTTAGATGGATTAGGGATCAGCTGGTTTTCCCTGTAATAGGCAGTAAGAGCACCTAGAGCTTCGAGAGCTTCTGTTCAACCATCTCAAAGCTCCCTGCTTGAGCGGTGATGGCACGATCATCAGCATAGATGAAACTCTCTGTCCCTTCTGGCAGTGGCTGGTCATTTGTGTAGATGTTGAACATGGATGGAGGAAGCACGCTCCCCTGAGGCAGGCCGTTCTTCTGTTTCCGCCATCTGCTTCTCTGGCCCTGGAACTCAACAAAAAAGCTCCTGTTTTGTAGCAGGTTTCCTATGAGGCGGGTGAGGTGGTCGTCCTGTGTGATATTATATATATGATATATGATTAGGGATCGGCTGGTTTTCCCTGTAATAGGCAGTAAGAGCACCTAGAGCTTCGGAGAGCTTCTGTTCAACCATCTCAAAGCTTCCTGCTTGAGCGGTGATGGCACGATCATCAGCATAGATGAAGCTCTCTGTCCCTTCTGGCAGTGGCTGGTCATTTGTGTAGATGTTGAACATGGATGGAGCAAGCACGCTCCCCTGAGGCAGGCCGTTCTTCTGTTTCCGCCATCTGCTTCTCTGGCCCTGGAACTCAACAAAAAAGCTCCTGTTTTGTAGCAGGTTTCCTATGAGGCGGGTGAGGTGGTCGTCCTGTGTGATATTATATATATGATATATGATTAGGGATCAGCTGGTTTTCCCTGTAATAGGCAGTAAGAGCACCTAGAGCTTCGGAGAGCTTCTGTTCAACCATCTCAAAGCTCCCTGCTTGAGCGGTGATGGCACGATCATCAGCATAGATGAAGCTCTCTGTCCCTTCTGGCAGTGGCTGGTCATTTGTGTAGATGTTGAACATGGATGGAGCAAGCACGCTCCCCTGAGGCAGGCCGTTCTTCTGTTTCCGCCATCTGCTTCTCTGGCCCTGGAACTCAACAAAAAAGCTCCTGTTTTGTAGCAGGTTGCCTATGAGGCGGGTGAGGTGGTCGTCCTTTGTGATATTATACATGTGTCCTTGATGAGGTCTGTAAACTTGTGCAGGATGTAGTTAAGTCCATGGACCCATAGAGATGGAAGGCGGGGAGGAAGGGGACCCTGAAGGTGGCCTCCTCATGTGGTGATGAACGGTGCCTTGTTTTGAACGCCTCCTCACAGGGCGAGGCAAGAGAAGATGGAGAAGAAGCGAATGACGCAGCGGTTCATCGAGGAGTTCAAGCGGGACCAGGCCGAGCGGAAGCGCCAGCAGCGCGAGGAGATGGAGGAGGAGAACCGGAGGCTTGTGGCGTTTGCCAACATGTGGCAGGAGAGGGAGGACGGCCGGATGGCCAAGGTCCGCCAGAGCGAGGAGCAGAAGCGCATGCTCCAGCAGAAGGTACAGAAATAATCAAGAATAATAATCATGGAACTTTATTTCTATCCTGCCCCCTCTGTCTCCCTGAGGGGACTCAGGGTGGTTTACAACAGGTATTGGCAAACCTTCCAATGCCGTGAGAGGCTAAACAAAGACAAAAATAACCAGCCCCCCCTCAAATCCTCAAAACAAATCCACATTGACATCAAAAATAATAACATATTATACTGCAATATTACTACTAATATTATATGTAACTAGCCGTCCCCTGCCACACGTTGCTGTGGCCCACATGGGGGTTCTGTGTGGGAGGTTTGGCCCAATTCTATCATTGGTGGGCTTCAGAATGCTCTGTGGTTGTAGGTGAACTATAAATCCCAGCAACTACAACTCCCAAATGTCAAGATTCTATTTTCCCCAAACTCCACCAGTGTTCACATTTGGACATACTGAGTATTTGTGTAGAGTTTGGTCCAGATCCATCACTGTTTGAGTCCACAGTGATCTCTGGATGTAGGTGAACTACAACTCCAAAACCAAAGCACGCTGCCCACCAAACCCTTCTAGTATTTTCTGTTGGTCATGGGAGAACTGTGTGCCATGTTTGGTTCAATTCCATCATTGGTGGGGTTCAGAATGCTCGTTGATTGTAGGTGAACTATAAATCCCAGCAACTACAACTCCCAAATATCAAGATTCTATTTTCCCGAAACTCCACCCGTGTTCACATTTGGGCATATGGGGTATTTGTGTAGAATTTGGTCCAGATCCATCACTGTTTGAGTCCACAGTGCTCTCTGGATGTAGGTGAACTACAACTCCAAAACCAAAGGACACTGCCCACCAAACCCTTCCAGTATTTCCTGTTGGTCATGGGAGAACTGTGTTCCAAGTTTGGTTCAATTCCATCGTTGGTGGGGCTCAGAATGCTCTTTGATTGTAGGTGAACTATACATCCCAGCAACTACAACTCCCAAATGTCAAGATTTTATTTTCCCCAAACTCCACCAGTGTTACATATTTTATTTATTTAGTTATTCGACTTGTATACCGCTACTCCCAGTTTGGCTCGGAGCGGTTTACAGAAGCAAATTAAAACAATACAATTAGCTTTAAAACGACCATAACAATAACAACAGGCAGCGAGAACAGGCATAGCCCGGGTTGTCCACCCATCAAAAGCTTGCCGGAATAGAAAAGTTTTACAGGCTTTCCGAAAAGCAAGTAGGTCTCGGATGGTTCGAGTTTCGACCGGCAAGGCATTCCATAAATAAGGGGCCACGATCGAGAAGGCTCTCTGCCTAGTAGATGACAAATGATAAGTCCGGATGTTAGGGACTGCAAGCAGGTTTTGGTCTTCACACCGGAGTAATCTCTGGGGTTGGTAGGGGGATAAGCGGGCCCTCAGGTACGCTGGCCCCAGACCATTTAAGGCCTTAAAGCAGTGTTTCTCAGCCTTCCTGGTGCTGCAACCCCTTAACCCAGTTCCTCATGTTGTGGTGACCCCCAACATTATTTTCATTGCTACTTTATAACTGTAATTTGGCTACTATTATGTATTGTAATGTAAATATCCAACATGCAGAATGTATTTTCATTCACTGGACCAAATTGGGCAAAAATACCCAATACATGGGGTTGGGGGAATTGATTTTGTCACTTGAGAGTTGTCGTTGCTGGGATTTATAGTTCGCCTACAATGAATGAGCATTCCGAACTCTACCAAGGATGAAATTGAACCAACCTTGGCACACATGACCTACGGAAAATACTGGAAGGGTTTGGTTGGTATTGACCTTGAGTTTGGGAGTTATAGTTCACCAACCTCCAGAGAGCACTTGATGGATCCGGACCAAATATTGGCACAAATACTCAATATGCCCAAATGTGAACAGTGGTGGAATTTGGGGGAAATAGAGCTTGACATTTGGAAGTTGTAGTTGCTGGGATTTATAGTTCACCTACAATCACAGAGCATTCTGAACCCCACCAATGAGAAAATTGGGCCAAGCTTCCCATGCAGAACCCCCACAACCAACAGAGAATACTGTGTTTTCTGGTGGTCTTTGGCGACCCCTCTGACACCCACTTGCGACCCCTCCAGGGGTCCCGGCCCCCAGGTTGAGAAACACTGCCTTAAAGGTGAGTACCAACACCTTGAAAGTGATCCAGTACTCAATCAGAAGCCAGTGCAGCTGTTGTAGAATTGGGGTGAATACGACACCTCGGCGGCACCCCAGTAAGAAGACGAGCCGCCGCATTTTGCACCAGCTTCAGTTTCCGGATCACTGACAAAGGAAGGCCAATGTAGAGGGCGTTACAGTAGTCAAGCCTCGAGATGACCGTCGCCTGGATCACCGTAGCCAGGTCGTTCCTAGATAGGAAGGGAGCCAGTCGCCTAGCCTGACGTAGATGGAAAAATGCAGATCTGCTCACAGCAGAGACCTGGGCCTCCATTGTGAGCAGAGGGTCCAATAAGACACCAAGACTCTTTACAGAAGATGACGGACGTAGTGTCTCGCCATCCAGGGTAGGCAGCTGGATCTCCCTCCCACCTGGACGGCCCAGCCAAAGGATCTCCGTCTTCGCTGGGTTCACCCTCAACCTGCTGGCACACAACCATCCAGTAACGGCCTCAAGGCACTGATGGAAATTTTCGGGTATAGAGTCCGGCTGGTCCTCCATCCTCAGAATGAACTGAGTGTCATCAGCGTACTGGTGGCACTCAAGCCCAAAGCTCTGCACCAGTCGGGCAAGCGGTCGCATATAGATGCTAAATAATAGAGGAGAAAGGATAGCTCCCTGCGGCACCCTGCAAGTTAGCGGAGATCTCTCGGAAACCATCCCTCCCCTCACCATACGCTGTCTTGAAAATGATTGCGTACCATACTGTGTAGCGCGGACGACACAATAAATTTTACGTGATTTCATCTGGGCTGAACAGGTTTCCGCTCTCGCACTAGCTATAGTCGTTTAATTCGTATTTAAATGGGTGGGAGGGAGACCCAGCTGCCTACCCTGGATGGCGAGACGCTTACGATCCAATATTGAGCCATGCAGGGAATTGTGTGAGGAGTAATAAAGATTCGAAACAATTTTTTCAATTTATTTCGTAATTATTTCGAAATTATTTCGTAATTTTCGCATGTCTGGTGCAAGTTTTATAGTTGTTTGTTTTATCACACCAACAGTCAACAACAGAGGGAGAGGGAAGCTTCAGAAGTTCCTCCTGTCCCATTTGGAGGTTTTTTTAGCATATTGCGCAATCGCGTCCGCCATTAACAAATCGATTCGTAATTTTACGAAATTTTGTAAATTTCAAAAAAATTTAAAGGAAAATTTCGGAATTATTAAAAAAAAACAAAACACAAGGGCCCCCTAAAAACAAAACGAGTTTAGAACCAAATTTTTCCGTGGTTACCCAAGCCAACTCTGCACCAGTCGGGCAAGCGGTCACATGTTGATGTTAAATAATAGAGGAGAGAGAATGGCTCCCTGCGGGACCCCGCAAGTTAGCGGAGACTCTCGGAAACCATCCCTCCCCTCACCACACGCTGTCCCGGATTCTGGAGGAAGGAGGACACCCACTTAAGGGGTATCCCCCTCACCTCAGTCATGGCTAGGCGGTGGGTCAATAGATTGTGGTCAGCCGTATCAAATGCTGCCGTGAGGTCCAATAACACAAGCAGCGCTGATCCGCCTTGATCCATCTGGCAGCGGAGCTGATCTGTGATGGCAACCAGCACAGTCTCCGTCCCATGCCCGCTACGGAAAGTTTTAGAAACCAACACTTTCTTGTTACTTTATTTTCCAGATCTCCAGACGGGGCCACAGCAACACCTGGCAGGGGACGGCTAGTTTTATATATTATTATATAGTAGGGCTCCCAAGGGGTGTTGGAGGAGACACAGTGGAGCTGTGTCCGAAGGGGCCAAATAATCCCTAATGCAGAATAACAAGAGGCATGGTGGCTGGGGGCGGCTCACGGTGTCCTGTTCCTCTCTCTGTGTTTCAGCTGGCAGACATCCTGGAGAAGGAGCAGCAGGAGCGGGAGGAGATGGAGGAAGTCCGGACGGAGCTGCTCTGGGAGGAGCGCATGGAGGCCGACCGGAAGAAGGAGATGGTAAGCTGGGAGGATTGGGGGCCCGTCGCCTGCACCATTGGGCGCAACAGGGTGCAGGGCTCCAAACCAAGTCCACACAGCAACATTGCCCTCAGCCTTGGTTGCAGCCTCGTGGACTCTTCCTCCTTTCAGTCACTGCAGAAACAGATCTATTGTACTCTGAAGGACCAGTTCATGTTTTGGGTTTGGCGTGCATGCAAGCAAGAGCAAAAGTCCTTTGTATGGGGTATATTTTCGTGCCAGGAGCGACTTGAGAAACTGCAAGTTGCTTCTGGTATGTGAGAATTGGCCGTCTGCAAGGATGTTTTGCTGTTTTACCATCCTTGTGGGAGGCTTCCCTCATGTCCCCGCGTGGGGAGCTGGAGCTGACAGAGGCGCTCCCCCTGGATCCGAACCTCTGACCTGTTGGTCTTCAAGGGTTTAACCCATTATGCCCAAGAGAATGACCTAAACGTAATATGTTGACAAGGAGGAGAGGACTCTTCGCCAAATGCATTGCCCTGTTTGTCTTGCTGCCCATTTCCTCCCTCTTCTTTGCTTCAAAACAGAAGCTGGATGGCAGTCTGTCAGGAGGGCTTTGTGCTTTTCCTGCCTGGCAGACAGAAGGGGGCTGGGCTACGTGGCCTCCAGGATCCTTTCATGCTCAAGGAGCCAGGAGGGAGGGAGGGAGGGAGGGAGGGAGGGAAGTATTTATTTATTTATCGTGTCATCAGCAACCAGGCATTTGTATTACATTTCTAACAGAACAAAACAAACAAACAGACAAAATACAAAATGTGTGAGTTTGGTAGTTGATTAAATGTCCTTTGACCAGTCTCTGTCCCCTTGGAGTGCCTCTGGTGTGGCTGCAAGAAGGTCCTCCATCGTGCATCATGTGGCAGGGCTCAGGGTGCATTGCAGCAGGTAGTCAGCTCTTCTCCAAACTCGCATGTCGTGGACTCCACTTTGTGGCCCCATTTCTTGAGGTTAGCTCTCCATCTCGTGGTCTGTTCAGCGCCTTCCAAGTCGCCCCGTCTTCTGTGTGCCCAGGGGAGAGTCTCTCATTGGGTATCAGCCATTGGTTGAGGTTCTGGGTTTGAGCCTGCCACTTTTGGACTCTTGCTTGCTGAGATGTTCCAGCGAATGTCTCTGTAGATCCCCAAACAGGGGATGAGCTGGAGATGTCTCTGCCTTGGTCCTTTCACTATTGGCTGCTACTTCCCGGCGGATGTCAAATGGTGCAAGACCGGCTAAGCAGTGTAATTTCTCCCGTGGTGTAGGGCGCAGACACCCCGTGATAATGCGGCATGTCTCATTAAGAGCCACACCCACTGTTTTAGCGTGGTGAGATGTGTTCCACACTGGGCATGCGTACTCAGCAGCAGATGAGCATAGCGCAAGGGCAGATGTCTTCACTGTGTCTGGTTGTGATCCCCAGGTTGTGCCAGTCAGCTTCCGTATGGTATTGTTTCTAGCACCCACTTTTTGTTTGATGTTCAGGCAATGCTTCTTGTAGGTCAGGGCACGGTCCAGAGTGACTCCCAGGTATGTGGGTGTGCTGCAATGCTCCCGTGGGATAATCCTCAGAGCTCAGGATGCTTGTCTGTTCTTAAGGTGAAAGGCACATGTCTGTGTTTTAGATGGGTTGGGGATCAGCTGGTTTTCCCTGTAATAGGCAGTAAGAGCACCTAGAGCTTCGGAGAGCTTCTGTTCAACCATCTCAAAGCTCCCTGCTTGAGCGGTGATGGCACGATCATCAGCATAGATGAAACTCTCTGTCCCTTTTGGCAGTGGCTGGTCATTTGTGTAGATGTTGAACATGGATGGAGCAAGCACGCTCCCCTGAGGCAGGCCGTTCTTCTGTTTCCGCCATCTGCTTCTCTGGCCCTGGAACTCAACAAAGAAGCTCCTGTTTTGTAGCAGGTTTCCTTTGAGGCGGGTGAGGTGGTCGTCCTTTGCGATATTATACATTTTTCTCAGGGAGGGAAGTAAAGCAACCCTTATGCCCCCCGCGCTCTAGGAGGAGATGGAGAAGAAGATCCGCCAGCGGCTGGAGCTGCGCGAGGCCTACGAGGAGCAGCTGGCCAGCAAGGAGGTGCTGCTGCAGGCCATGCGGGAGGAGGAGGCCGCCTTCCGGCAGGCCATGCTGGCCAAGTTTGCAGAGGACGACCGGATCGAGCAGATGAACGCCCAGAAGCGCCGGATGAAGCAGCTGGAGCACCGGAAGGAAGTGGAGCGGCTGATTGAGGAGCGGCGCAAGCAGTTCCTGGCCGACAAGGTGGGAGGGGAGAGGGGCCGCGCGGGAGGGAGGGAGGGAGGGAAGCAGCCGGCATTCGGGCCCCACAGAGCCAAGGGCGGCCCGAGGGACTCATGACCCCAAATGGGGTCTTGTAAAAAAAAAATCGTAGAGAGTTGGTATTTGTAGAAGGTTTCTGCGCCCGTACCTTGGGAAGTCTGACTTGGCCACGGTAGTCCACACTCTGGTTGCATCCCGTATAGACTACTGCAACGCTCTCTACATGGGGTTGCCTTTGAAGACTGCTCGGAAGCTTCAAATGGTCCAAGGGCAGCCAGATTGCTAACAGGAGCGGGCTCAGGGAGCATACTACTCCTCTGTTGCGCCAGCTCCACTGGCTGCCAATTAGCTTCCGAGCACAATTCAAAGTGCTGGTGTTGACCTATAAATCCCTAAACGACTCCGGCCCAGTTTACCTGTCCGAACGGATTCTCCCCTATGAACCATCAAGGTTGTTAAGATCTTCTGGAGGGGCCCTGCTCTCGGTCCCACCACCCTCGCAATCGCGTCTGGTGGGACGAGGGACAGGGCCTTCTCGGTGGTGGCCCCTCGGCTCTGGAACTCTCTCCCATTGGAGATTAGATCTGCCTCTTCCCTCCTGACTTTCAGAAAGCTGGTAAAAACCTGGCTTTGGAATATAGCATTTGCAGAATGATGATTGAGTCAATAACTGCTGACCACACCGGCGGATGGTGATAAATGTGTGATTTTACTTTGACGACCTGGCTTTTTGTAATTGTATGATCTGTAATTTAATGTATTTTATGTATTACGATGCTATTATGTTTATCTTACTTGTGTATGAATTTCCTGCTGTTAGCCGGCCTGAGTCCCTCTTCGGAGGTCGAGAAGACCGGGTTATAAAAGCTCTAAATAACTAAATTCTTTGGTTTGGTGGGTAGGAACGTGAACTGGAAGACATCCAGGAGGCAGAAAGAAGGAAAGAGATCGTCAACCACATTATTGAGGAGGAGCGGCAGAAGCTGCTCAAGGAGCACGCCGTGAAGCTGTTGGGGTACCTGCCCAGGGTGAGTCCAGGGGAGAAGAGGGGGGTCGGGGCTGCCGCTCGAAATTCGCCTCCCATAGGCCCTTGTGGTCGGAGAGCCCTGCTTCTCTGGCCAGGTCAAATGCAACGGCAGGCCGTTGGGCCTGAGGAAGGAGAAGGGTGCCAGTTTCTCAGTGATGAAATCCAAAGGGCCGATGGGAGTTCTGGGAGCGAGGCAGCCCTGAAGGCTTCTCTCAGGGTGCAAACTGTTCATACACACACACACACACACACACACACACACACACACACATATAAATGTAATGTTCGTTTGTGGGATTAACAGAACTCAAAAAACACTGGAGGAATTGACACCAAATTTGGACACAAGACACCTCACAACCCAATGTATGTCCTTCACTCCAAAAAATTGATTTTGTCATTTGGGAGTTGTAGTTGCTGGGATTTATAGTTCACCTACAATCAAAGAACATTCTGAACTCCATCAACAATGGAATTGAACCAATCTTTGCACACAGTTCTCCCATGACCAATAGAAAATACTGGAAGGGTTTGATAGGCAGTGCCCTTTGGTTTTGGAGTTGTAGTTCACCTCCATCCAGAGAGCACTGTGGACTCAAACAATGATGGATCTGGACTAAACTTGGCACGAATATTCCATATGCCCAAATGTGAACACTGGTGGAGTCTGGGGAAAATAGACCTTGACATTTGGGAGTTGTAGTTGTTGGGATTTATAGTTCACCTACAATCAAAGAGCCTTCTGAACTCGACCAACAATAGAATTGGGTCAAACTTCCCACACAGAATCCCGATGACCAACAGAAAATACTGTGGGTTGTTGTAGGTTTTTTCGGGCTATATGGCCATGGTCTAGAGCAGGGGTCCTCAAACTCCAAGGTCATTTATCTGGCCCTCACTCAGGGTCAACCTAAGTCTGAAATGACTTGAAAGCACACAACAACAACAACAATCCTATCTCATCACCCAAAAGCAGGCTCACACTTCCCACTGAAATACTAATAAGTTTATATTTGTTAAAATTGTTCTTAATTTTAATTATTGTATTGTTTCAAAGTGGTTTTTTGCACGACAAATAAGATGTGTGCAGTGTGCATAGGAATTCATTCATGCTTTTTTCAAATTATAATCCAACAGTTTGAAGGACTGGGACCTGGCCCTCCGTTTAAAAAGTTTGAGGACCCCTGGTCTAGAGGCATTTTCTCAGGGCCTCTAGGCCATGGCCATATAGCCCGAAAAAACCTACAACAACCCATTGATTCCGGCCATGAAAGCCTTCGACAATACAGAAAATACTGTCCCCTGCGGGGTGAGAAGGGCGGAATATAAGAACTGTAAAGAAATAAATAAATAAATTCTGATGGTCTTTGGCGACCCCTTTGACACCCCCTCACGACCCCCTCAGGGGTCCCGATTCCCAGGTTGAGAAATACTGCTGTAGACGTTTTTTCCAAATTTGTTCCCATTCCCTTAAATTAATTGGACGGCCACTATTTCTTGCCCATTTTATCATAGTTTTTAATCTCTTCTGTTTCTGTCACCCAGTTTCTCACAAATTTTAGTTATTATTTTCTTTTCCAAAGTCATAGCCATATCCCAGAATTCAGGGTGCAGACCGTTCTGTGTTGCCTCTCTGTCCGTTCAGGGTGTCCTCAAAGACGACCGGGACGTGGAGCTTCTCGGGGAGGAGTTTCGGCAGGTCTACCAGAGGCGGGAACGAGAGGGGGCCCCCGCGGAGCAGTGAAGGCAGGAGGAGGGAGGGGACCCATCCAGAATCCTCAGACGAGGAGTGCAGACGGCGGCATCTCTGTGCCCGCAAAGCGGTATGTCTCCAAAATCACTCTGTGCACACATGCCCCAACTCTCTGTCTCTCCTGGTTTTGTAGCAATAAATTGTATTTCCAGCAACAGGTCTCCCTCTGGGACATTAATCTGGGTGCTGCGCCTGGGGAGAGCGAGGGTGGCCTCATCGACCATTAGATGTTGCGTACCTTCAAGTAACCTTTGTCCCCTTTGTCTCAGGCTTGCCAGGGACATTAAAAACAATAAAAAGGGCTTCTTTTCTTATGTCAGTAGAAAAAGGAAAAACAAGGAGGCGAGAGGGCCTCTTCGAGGAGAATGCTGACAGGGGATGATAGGGAAAAGGCAGAACTACTCAATGCCTTCTTTGCCTCGGTCTTCTCACAAAAAGAAAGTCACCTTCAACCTCAGCAAGATGGAGTGGGTGAGGGATTGGAGGACATCCAACCCCAAATTGGGAAAGAAGTCGTCCAGGAATCCCTGGCCTCTCTAAATGAGTTCAAGTCCCCTTTCAGGGCCAGATCAACTACACCCCAGATTACGGAAGTAATTTCGGAACCATTGGCAACCATCTTTGAGAGTTCTTGGAGAATGGGAGAAGTTCCAGCAGATTGGAGGAGGGCCAATGTGGTCCCAATCTTCAAGAAGGGAAAAAAGGATGACCCAAACAATGACCAATGTCCAGTCAGCCTCACGTCGATACCAGGCAAGATTCTGGAAAAGATTGTTAAGGAAGTGGTCTGCAAACACTTAGAAACAAATGCGGTCATCGCTAAGAGTCAACATGGATTTATCAAAAACAAGTCATGCCAGACTCATCTGATCTCTTTCTTCGATAGAGTTACAAGCTGGGTAGATGCGGGGAATGATGCCGTGGATGGAGCGTGTCTGGATTTCAGGAAGGCCTTCTTTGACAAGGTCCCCCATGACCTTCTGGCAAGGAAACTAGTCCAATGTGGGCGAGGCAAAACTACGGTGAGGTGGATCTGGAATTGGTTAAATGGACGAACCCAGAGGGGGATTCTCCCCAAGGCTTCCTCTTCTTCATCCTGGAAAGAAGTGACGAGTGGAGTGCCATCAGCAGGGTTCTGTCCTGGGCCCGGTCCTATTCAACATCTACCATATAAGACAGGGGTAGGGAACCTTTGGCCCTCCAGCTGTGGTGGACTGCAACTCCCACAATTCCTTGAGGCTCGGCATTGGGCCAAGGTAAGCCTTTGGGGCGAATGCCGAGCCCCAAGGAATTGTGGGAGTTGAAGTCCACCACAGCTGGAGGGCCAAAGGTTCCCTACCCCTGACTTAGATGAAGGGTTAGAAGGCAGGATCATCAGGTTTGCAGACGGGACCAATAATAATAATACGAATAATAATACTTTGTTTGTACCCCGCTACCATCTCCCCAAGGGACTCGGTGAAGCTTACATGAGGCCGAGCCCAAATACAGCAATACAGTCTGGTTTCAGGCCGGGACATGGTACCGAGACAGCCTTGGTCGCCTTAGTGGATGATCTGCGCAGGGAGCTCGACAGGGGGAGTGTGTCCCTGTTAGTTCTGCTGGACCTCTCAGCGGCCTTCGATACCGTCAACCACGGTATCCTTCTGGGACGCCTCGCGGGAATGGGCCTTGGTGGCACTGTTTTACAGTGGCTCAGGTCCTTCCTAGAGGATCGTACCCAGAAGGTGTTGCTGGGGGACAACTGCTCGACCTCACAACCATTGACTTGTGGGGTCCCGCAGGGTTCAATATTGTCCCCCATGTTATTTAACATCTACATGAAGCCGCTGGGTGAGATCATCCGGAGTTTCGGGGTGCGGTGTCATCTGTACGCAGATGATGTTCAACTCTGTCACTCCTTCCCACCTACTACTAAGGAGGCTGTCCAGGTCCTGAACCGTTGCTTGGCCGCTGTGTCGGACTGGATGAGGGCTAACAAATTGAAACTGAAGCCAGATAAGACAGAGGAACTCCTGGTCAGTCGAAAGGCCGAACAGGGCATAGGGTGACAGCCTGTGTTAGACGGGGTTACACTCCCCCTGAAGACGCAGGTTTGCAGTTTGGGTGTGATCCTGGACTCTTCGCTAAGCTTGGAACCCCAAGTTTCAGCGGTGTCCAGGGGAGCATTTGCACAACTCAAACTTGTGCGCCAGTTGCGCCCGTACCTTGGGAAGTCTGACTTGGCCACGGTAGTCCACGCTCTGGTTACATCCCGGATTGATTACTGCAACGCGCTCTATGTGGGGTTGCCCTTGAAGACTGCCCGGAAGCTTCAGATGGTCCAGCGCTCGGCAGCCAGGTTGCTAACGGGAGCGGCACTCAGGGAGCACACCACTCCTCTGCTGAGCCAGCTCCACTGGCTGCCAATCCGCTACCGGGCACAATTCAAGGTGCTGGCTTTAGCCTATAAAGCCCTAAACGGTTCTGGCCCTGCTTACCTCTCCGAACGCATCTCCACCTATGAACTGACCAGAACATTAAGATCGTCTGGGGAGGCCCTGCTCTCGATCCCGCCTGCGTCACAGGCGCGCTTGGCGGGGACGAGAGACAGGGCCTTCTCAGTGGTGGCCCCTCGGCTATGGAATGCCCTACCGGCAGA